AACTAAATGGTCAAAACAAACCAAAGTAGCATACTAAACAAACCAATAAAAAGATACAAAAGAAACAATTGATTTAACAACATCACCAACAGAGGAAAAAAAACTGTTCTTTCATATAACTAAACACAAAATGTTTGGGTATCAATCAGGTCAGTAGAAACAAGAAAAATCAATCAGGTCAGTAGAAACAAGAAAAATCCAACATGAAGTTCAATCATGTATCTGTTGTAAACAGTCCAGCAGGCGACATAGTAATGAAAAACAGGGTCAGAAATCCAACCTTCTTTTCAAAACATCATTTACACTCAGCAGAAATCATTCTCTCTCAGTAAGCAAAAAAGCAACGGCCTTTATTCACCAAATGATTTTTTCTGATTGGCCATGCCAGTCAGGGAGGAAAGAACATTAGCATAGATTCTCTGATACATAAAGTAGCAGATTTTTGCTAAATATTTTCTTTAATTTTCCTTCAGCAGATCACACACAAAACAAACACTTTTTTTAGGTAGATTTTCTCTTTAGTTACACTTACCAAACACTAAGTAAAGTTAAATAACATAATCTACTAAAAATGCATATACAGTTAACACAAACATGTAGCTAGATGTTCATACACAAATACATAAACATACAGATAAGTGTGTATACATGTTTGTATGCGTATATACATGCACATACATGGGCACACACCTGTACAAACACACATACACACATAAAAATCCAACCATTACCTAAACTAAATGATAAAAACAATAACAATAAACCAGAGATCAATGGAGAAGTTGAGGAAAAAATGAAAGAAGATGAAAAAAAAATTTTAAAAAAAAGGAGGTTAGAGGAAGAGAAATCAACAACCAATCAAAACACATCAAGTGAAAAGGAAAGTAACACACACACGCCCAAAATAAAAGTACAAAAGAATTGAGAAATATCAACATTTTAATTCTGTTCTGATGAGTGGTTACATTTATATATATACGAAACTTCAAAGTAAACATGAGTTAAGTGAAAAAACTTTTTTATATTAATTATATTGAAGTGAATACCCAGAGGCAACAGACTGTTTCATGCAAAATGCAATCATTAAGCCTGATGATTGCGTCTAACATGAAACATTTGGTTGCCTCTGAGTGTTGACTTTAATGTTCACTTTTATATTTACATATACTCTATCTCTGATATTGAGCACTTTAGCCCATAAATATCGCATACCTTAAAACTATATTTCTTCATATATATATGCCGATGAAAAAAAATCAGGAAAAGATTAATAAAAATAACTCACAGCAATATGTGTTATTTACACAGTATTCTTTTTTTCTTATACAACAGTGACCTTGAAGTGCACAAGAAAATTCATATTTTTTCTGTTAATTTAAACTTTCAGTAGTTAACCTGACTATTTGTGTCAAGTTATTCATATAAAATAATTAGTGAAAGTGCATGAAACTATGCTTTCATGCCTTAAACCATTTCTTTTCAAATAGGTTTTTTATCACATCTCCTTTAATCATGTAGTGTGAGGCCTGCAGAAATTCCACAGTTTTTGCTCATTTTTATTACTGTAAGTAATCATTTCAGGCTGATATATTTCATATTGCTATACTATTTCAATGAAGCAGACATTAAATGCATGAAGGTTTTATCACTTGCTTTATTTTCCTTTTTTTTCTTTCTTTCTTTCTAGAAACACATGTTTATAGTTTCAACACACTCCAGAATAAAGCTTGACAGAAGTTAAATGAAAAGCATTAGAGATTTCCTCTGTCCTCTGCTGCTATAACAATAATCTGTGGACAGGGGACAGGCAAGCTATTATAGAGTTGTAACATACATGCTAAGGAGCAAGTAGAATTATCATATGATGTAACATATTATTTCTTATGTTGGACTACAATAATTACATTATGTAAGTATCATAAGTGAACTCTCTACTATATATAACTTGTGATGTGTTATGTCCTTTAGGACTTCATCGGGTTAAATTTGTTATGTTGGTACAACTAAACATGTGCATGAACAAGGGCTACTGGGGATTTTAGGATTTTTTTTATATCCAGCCGATTTCATTTTTTTCTTTTTATCACATTTGTTAGTAGGTATCCTACACTTTGATAATAGAAGATGCTTCTCTCTAAATGAAATCGACTAGATATAAAAAAATTCCCAGCATCCCTCATTCATGAATATGAGTAGTCATACTAATATAACAAATTTAGTCCAATGAAGTCCCGAAGGACGAAATGTACCACAAATAAACTTTTCCCACTTTGTCATACATTTTCTTTAATAGTGTTCTTGATATAAAATATATATATATATATATATATATATATAACATAACAGGGAAATGAAACTAAGGAATGAATTAGTTTCAAAATGTCATCACAGAAGTAGATTTAAACTTCTATAATATTTGTTATCTTACTTCATTTTTTTAATTATCTAACCCTTCTAATATTATAAATACTACTTTAGTCATTTAGATATTTTGCCTTCTCCATATTAATCCTATCTTATAACCTTCCACTATTTTTTGAACTCCCTTTTATTTCTTCTTTGTCATTTTAAATTTTAAAAAAAAAACAAAACAAAACAGTTTTTTGGCTTTTTTCTTTTATTTTCTTGGTATTATTAGAATTCTTAATATTTTAACTTATCTTTAAATTTTAAATGGTTGATATAATTTTTCAATTATTTTTTCTTAATATAGACTATCTAAAAACGATTTATTGTTTATCCTAATATATTTTATTTGTAAGTGTATTTTCGTAATTTTGAGTGGTAATAATTTTTTTGTTATTATATAATTAATATTATAAAACACCCTTTTCTTTTGGCTTCCCTTAGTATAACTTCATTCTTATAACTAAAACTTGGGCTGTTAAAGTTAATATTTAGGTCGAATTTTTTATTTAAGCCAGACAACATCCACCCTCCCTTTACCACCACTCAGGGAGGTTTGTGTTGTCTGCTGTTATGGGTTGGTTATGTATCAATTCTTTCAAATGTTTTTTTTCAAATATTAAATTTGAGTTTTGATACATCCACCATTTGAGTTGAACAAATCCAACGTACTGACATTGGTTGAAAAAGTCTATACTCATGAGGTAATTTTGGATTTCCCTGTTATGTAATTTATTTGCTCTGTTATAATAAATACATTGAGCTGTTTTTGTCAATCAGTTTTAATATTTTATATTATTAGGATCCATTTGGATTATATATCAATGGATTTATTACCTGTACTATATATATATATATATATATATATATATATGCACATTTCATTGAATACAACAGACAAGGTGCTTTTATTTAGTTTTTTTATACAATTTCTCATGTGATCTAATAATTCTTTTTCTTTTTGGATGATAAATTATATAAAAACTGTCCGAATTTTCTTTTTAGCCAAGCGCTTTCAGCTATACATTTAGCCATTTTCAAAGATTAAATATTTTAACTGTTAAATATGTTGTATGTTTTATAAAATGTTTTCATTTTTCAAGACACAGTCAATATATTGTGTCCATGTTCAAAGTTAATATTATTAAGTGTTGTTTTTTTTTGTTTTTATTAATAAGACTTCCATTATTTTTAGCCTTTTTTTACATGTAGATGATGCTATTAGTGTTGTCAACAAGCATGTTATGAATAGTGTCCAGTAGGTCTCCATGAATATTTAAATGAGATCTAATTGAGCTATGGTCAGAAAGGTGTAGAGTGAGTCTGCATGTCAAACATGTTGTAGTGTGGCCTATATAATTATTTACAAATTTTGATTGATCAGGAATACAATTCCTTAATGGGCATCTGAAAAGAAAAAAAATTATTAGATTGCATGAGAAATTGTATAAAAAACTAAATAAAAGCACATTGTCGTATTCAATGAAATGTGCATGAAAGAAGGATTGCTGCCTAAATACACAAATATATATATATATATATATATATAATAAAAAGAAAGAACAGTAAGATATAAAATTTGGTGTTCTTATTGATATTTTTTATTTTTACAAAATAGTGCCCAATGTAAATTTACAGATCATAAGTATTATAAATTAACTGATTAACGTAACTCATAATTGATACAACAATAGTTAATAAAAATGAACACGCTACCACCCCTGTCTAAATGATTGGATTTCTCTGTATCCTTGGAAACAGGAAATTATGAATTTATATGTCCATTTAAAACTCAGTAAATTTAAAAATAAGTTATTCCATAATTCGCTTGAAGATGAAACAGAACTAATGCTTTTAATTTAATTATATAATTAAATTTGAAGTTTTTAGCTTCGTTTTTTGAAACATGGTTATTACTCTGTAGCGAAGAAACCATATTTTAAATCAGTTAATTTATTATATATATATATATATATATATATGAATGAATGAGAGGTATAGACACATAGAGAGCACATAATGATATAAATTAAAATAAGGGTGATTTTATGTATGAAAGCCATTGCAAATAATAAAAGATAAATACTGCAATTAAGTAGATTTAAAATTTTTAATAAAATAAATAAGAAAATTCAACCAAATGCATGTCTTGGTAGCATAAACTTTTATGAATCAAATAAATTTCATGCTCTTTGATTCTCATAGTCAACACACATGCTTTTATCCTAATGACATGGCTGTAAACATTCTTTGATGTTTTTTGTGATCTCTGAAGTTGACAAAATTGAAAAAAAAAAAAAAAAAAAAATCAAATTTCTCACAGAGAACAATTAGCCTTTCAGAGTTCATCAGAATGACAAAGTTGTTTCTTGTTTTCATTGTCTTAAATTATTAATTTGTTTTTGGTTCTCTACTGTGAATTCATTTCAGCAAAGAGACTTCAATCCTTTGCAGGCAAGATTTCTTACCTGGATGTCTCTTTTTCAAAGTACATGAAATTCTATTTAACTGGATTCCTTGCCACTGTATCGTAAATGACTGAGGAATGCATTGCTGTAAGAAGGAATGCAGTGTTCATTACAGAATTTTCTCACTGGACTTCGAAATGGATTGATAGATGGTTGAACAAGTCTTGCATTCAACTGTAGTAACTGCAAATGATCAGCTGACCAGTCATGGCTATAGTGGCAATAGTCTGTAAAATAGGCTGGAATCTCTTTCTCCTGAAAGTGTAAAGAACAATGATTCAGCCTGAATTTCTTACATAAGGAATTCTTTATTTATATTAATGTCCTCATCTTTGCTGTTGTCCTACAAATATTTTGTCAAATTAGGTAACCTTTTGGAAAATATTGAAAAGAATACTATTTAATCTATGGGGCTAGATACACCCTTGTACAAATTGAAACAACAACTTTAGTTTCCTTTCTTTCACTATATGGTTAGTTTTAGACCCATTGGAGTGACAGTGTGTAATCGATTTCTATTTTTTTCCTCAGATTAGGTCATCTTCAGTGGTGCACAGTAATATGAATCTATTTTCAGGGTGTATGATGAAATTTGTTTCGCCTTGAAAAATATTTCATCATCTGTGATATCAGATTTTTATCACACCCAGATACTCAACTGCTGATTAGTTGTCCTATGGATATTGTCTGCAATGGATGTTACTCCAAGGAAGCATACAAAACTTGTAATATTGTAGGAACACACTGGCAAGCCTTACTAGTGAGCAAATCAAAGTGCTTTACTAGTGACTGGCTCACAAATTCTCATTCTGGATATTGTCTGCAATGGATGTTACTCCAAGGAAGCATACAAAACTTGTAATATTGTAGGAACACTGGTAAGCCTTTGCAGTGAGCAAATCAAAGTGCTATAGACTGGCTCACAAATTCTCATTCTGGATATTGTCTGCAATGGATGTTACCCAAGGAAATCAAAACTTGTGCTATAGACTGGCTCAAACAAAATTCTCAAATTCTCATTCTGGATATTGTCTGCAATGGATGTTACTCCAAGGAAGCATACAAAACTTGTAATATTGTAGGAACACTCTGGCAAGCCTTACTAGTGAGCAAATCAAAGTGCTATAGACTGGCTCACAAATTCTCATTCTGGATATTGTCTGCAATGGATGTTACTCCAAGGAAGCATACAAAACTTGTAATATTGTAGGAACACACTGGCAAGCCTTACTAGTGAGCAAATCAAAGTGCTATAGACTGGCTCACAAATTCTCATTCTGGATATTGTCTGCAATGGATGTTACTCCAAGGAAGCATACAAAACTTGTAATATTGTAGGAACACACTGGCAAGCCTTACTAGTGAGCAAATCAAAGTGCTATAGACTGGCTCCCACAAATTTCATTCTGGATATTGTCTGCAATGGATGTTACTCCAAGGAAGCATACAAAACTTGTAATATTGTAGGAACACACTGGCAAGCCTTTAGTGAGCAAATCAAAGTGCTATAGACTGGCTCACAAATTCTCATTCTGGATATTGTCTGCAATGGATGTTACCCAAGGAAGCATACAAAACTTGTAATATTGTAGGAACACACTGGCAAGCCTTACTAGTGAGCAAATCAAAGTGCTATAGACTGGCTCACAAATTCTCATTCTGGATATTGTCTGCAATGGATGTTACTCCAAGGAAGCATACAAAACTTGTAATATTGTAGGAACACACTGGCAAAGCCTTACTAGTGAGCAAATCAAAGTGCTATAGACTGGCTCACAAATTCTCATTCTGGATATTGTCTGCAATGGATGTTACTCCAAGGAAGCATACAAAACTTGTAATATTGTAGGAACACACTGGCAAGCCTTACTAGTGAGCAAATCAAAGTGCTATAGACTGGCTCACAAATTCTCATTCTGGATATTGTCTGCAATGGATGTTACTCCAAGGAAGCATACAAAACTTGTAATATTGTAGGAACACACTGGCAAGCCTTACTAGTGAGCAAATCAAAGTGCTATAGACTGGCTCCACAAATTCTCATTCTGGATATTGTCTGCAATGGATGTTACTCCAAGGAAGCATACAAAACTTGTAATATTGTAGGAACACTCTGGCAAGCCTTACTAGTGAGCAAATCAAAGTGCTATAGACTGGCTCACAAATTCTCATTCTGGATATTGTCTGCAATGGATGTTACTCCAAGGAAGCATACAAAACTTGTAATATTGTAGGAACACACTGGCAAGCCTTACTAGTGAGCAAATCAAAGTGCTATAGACTGGCTCATTCTGGATAATTCTCATTCTGGATATTGTCTGCAATGGATGTTACTCCAAGGAAGCATACAAAACTTGTAATATTGTAGGAACACACTGGCAAGCCTTACTAGTGAGCAAATCAAAAGTGCTATAGACTGGCTCACAAATTCTCATTCTGGATATTGTCTGCAATGGATGCAGGAAGCATACAAAACTTGTAATATTGTAGGAACACTCTGGCAAGCCTTACTAGTGAGCAAATCAAAGTGCTATAGACTGGCTCACAAATTCTCATTCTGGATATTGTCTGCAATGGATGTTACTCCAAGGAAGCATACAAAACTTGTAATATTGTAGGAACACACTGGCAAGCCTTACTAGTGAGCAAATCAAAGTGCTATAGACTGGCTCACAAATTCTCATTCTGGATATTGTCTGCAATGGATGTTACTCCAAGGAAGCATACAAAGCCTTACACTATAGACTGGCAAGCCTTACTAGTGAGCAAATCAAAGTGCTATAGACTGGCTCACAAATTCTCATTCTGGATATTGTCTGCAATGGATGTTACTCCAAGGGGAAGCATACAAAACTTGTAATATTGTAGGAACACTAGTGAGCTGTGCTATAGACTGGCTCACAAATTCTCATTCTGGATATTGTCTGCAAAGCATACAAAAGTAATATGCTAGGAACACTCTGGCAAGCCTTACTAGTGCAAATCAAAAGCTATCTCAAATTCTCATTCTGGATATTGTCTGCAATGGATGTTACTCCAAGGAAGCATACAAAACTTGTAATATTGTAGCAAACACACTGGCTCACAAATTCTCTTACTAGTGAGCAAAAATCAAAGTGCTCAAGTGCTATAGACTGGCTCACAAATTCTCATTCTGGATATTGTCTGCAATGGATGTTACTCCAAGGAAGCATACAAAACTTGTAATATTGTAGGAACACTCTGGCAAGCCTTACTAGTGAGCAAATCAAAGTGCTATAGACTGGCTCACAAATTCTCATTCTGGATATTGTCTGCAATGGATGTTACTCCAAGGAAGCATACAAAACTTGTAATATTGTAGGAACACTGATATTGTCACTGTAAGGAAGCCTTACTAGTGAGCAAATCAAAGTGCTATAGACTGGCTCACAAATTCTCATTCTGGATATTGTCTGCAATGGATGTTACTCCAAGGAAGCATACAAAACTTGTAATATTGTAGGAACACTCTGGCAAGCCTTACTAGTGAGCAAATCAAAGTGCTATAGACTGGCTCACAAATTCTCATTCTGGATATTGTCTGCAATGGATGTTACTCCAAGGAAGCATACAAAAAACTTGTAGAATGTTACTAAGGAAGCATACAAAACTTGTATTGTAGGAACACTCAAGCAACCTTACTAGTGAGCAATCAAAGTGCTATAGACTGGCTCACAAATTCTCATTCTGGATATTGTCTGCAATGGATGTTACTCCAAGGAAGCATACAAAACTTGTAATTAGGAACACTCTGGTAAAGCCTTACTAGTGAGCAAATCAAAGTGCTATAGACTGGCTCCACAAATTCTCATTCTGATATTGTCTGCAATGGATGTTACTCCAAGGAAGCATATACAAAACTTGTAATATTGTAGGAACACACTGGCAAGCCTTACTAGTGAGCAAATCAAAGTGCTTGTGGATATTGTCTGCAATGGATGTTACAAGGAAGCATACAAAACTTGTAATATTGTAGAACACTTGGAACACACTGGCTAAGCCTTACTAGTGAGCAAATCAAAGTGCTATAGACTGGCTCACAAATTCTCATTCTGGATATTGTCTGCAATGGATGTTACTCCAAGGAAGCATACAAAACTTGTAATATTGTAGGAACACACTGGCAAGCCTTACTAGTGAGCAAATCAAAGTGCTATAGACTGGCTACAAATTCTCATTCTGGATATTGTCTGCAATGGATGCTATACAAAAGACTGGCCTTACTAGTGAGCAAATCAAAGTGCTATAGACTGGCTCAAATTCATCTCGATATTGTCTGCAATGGATGTTACTCCAAGGAAGCATACAAAACTTGTAATATTGTAGGAACACTCTGGCAAGCCTTACTAGTGAGCAAATCAAAGTGCTATAGACTGGCTCACAAATTCTCATTCTGATATTGTGCAATGGATGTTACTCCAAGGAAGCATACAAAACTTGTAATATTGTAGGAACACACTGGCAAGAAAGCCTTACTAGTGAGCAAATCAAAGTGCTATAGACTGGCTCACAAATTCTCATTCTGGATATTGTCTGCAATTACATCCAAGGAAGATACACTTGGTAACTGGCCTTACTAGTGAGCAACCAAAGTGCTATAGACTGGCTCACAAATTCTCATTCTGGATATTGTCTGCAATGGATGTTACTCCAAGGCTTATACAAAACTTGTAATATTGTAGGAACACTCTGGCAAGCCTTACTAGTGAGCAAATCAAAGTGCTATAGACTGGCTCACAAATTCTCATTCTGGATATTGTCTGCAATGGATGTTACTCCAAGGAAGCATACAAAACTTGTGTAGGTAGGGGCCTTACTAGTGAGCAAAATCAAGTGCTATAGACTGCTCACAAATTCTCATTCTGGATATTGTCTGCAATGGATGTTATCTAAGGAAGCATACAAAACTTGTAATATTGTAGGAACACACTGGCAAGCCTTACTAGTGCAAATCAAAGCAAATCAAATTCTCATTCTGGATATTGTCTGCAATGGATCCAAGGAAGCATACAAAACTTGGCTGGCAAGCCAAATAGTTCATTCTGGATGGATATTGTCTGCAATGGATGTTACTCAAGGAAGCATACAAATAATATTGTAGGAACACCTGACATCAAGCCTTACTAGTGAGCAAATCAAGTGCATAGACTGGCTCACAAATTCTCATTCTGGATATTGTCTGCAATGGATGTTACTCAAGGAAGCATAAAAACTTGTAATATTGTAGGAACACT